AGCCCTTTTCAGTAGTTTCCTCCCGCCACAAGGGTCCCCAAGGAATGTCAGCTACAAACAGGTGCACTGGATCACAAGGCCCCATGCAGCTCAGGCTCAAGTTAGGAAGAAGAGTCAGATAGGTAGACTAAAGCTGAGCTCAATCCTCAGAGATGAGCAGAAGTAGGAGAGGGCTTTTCAACCTTCATAGTATACTACTCATCTGGTTCCTTACCTCCCTATTCCAAAGTGAAGTGCCCCAAACAATGAACTCACTAAGATTAAGGCCTGAGTTTGCTCCTCCTATATCCCTAAACTGAGTTCCCTGAGGACTAGGTGTCTATTTGCTGCTCTTTCCTGACAGCCTTTCCTGCTCACTCCACCCAAAGACAAAAACTCCCTTAAAGGGGACAGTCTAGACTAGCTCCCTGGGACTATGAGCTAAACCGGGAAGGGAGGAGAGAGCAAGGCCAGAGTGAGTGTCGGAGAAAACAGGTGGATAAAGGATAACCCTATTAGCATCCTGCCTTAGAAGAGGATGGGGGATTAAAGGAAGAGTCTAGCCTAATCATCTCCAAAATGAGGGAGCTTTAGAGATGTCCATCTTTGGGCGTTCCCACATTGGTTACTCCTCCCCGTTCTAAAAACTTTTTAAAAAGGTGTTCTCACAGTTTCTTCTCATCCAAAGAGTCTTGACCATAGTTAAGTCACAGAGACGGCCTAATTCTTAAGGAAGTACTTTTACATTGGCCTGTAACTAGGCTGGGCTCCCAGGAATGAGCTCATTATTTCCATTTACTCTGTTCATGAGAGTCACTTTTAGCTGTACCCAACTGGGCTTGTCCATCTAGTCTGAGACAGCAAGGCCCTTTGGCACCGTTTGGGCCTAGAGTAAGGCTGAGAGCACTCTGAGCATGGAATGGTTCAGGAAAGAAACACAGGGAGTTAGGAAGAGCAGCAATAAAGACACTGGGCCAATTGATGAGGGGAAGGCAGGCTAGAAAATGAACTTGAAAATCGAAGTCCTGCTGCCTGGGTGCTGACACTACCTAGCACAGACCCCCCTCCAGATCTGCTCCTTCCAGAATTCCATTCCTGCTCCCCAAGCCTTCCTGCCAATGGCTTCCCACCCAGCACAACGGCATCTCTATTGCCTGTAAAAGCCTGTATCTAGTTCATAGGCTGAGCAACAGCCTTGTCACCTCAGTCCACAGGGTAAGTCTTAGAATGTCAGAGCTGGAAAGGACCTAAATGGTCAAAGACCATCCAGTCCAACCCCACCACCACCACCATCACCACCATTTTCCAGAAACATAAGAGAAGTGAGTTGCCCAAGGTAAGTAAATAGCAGAGACAGCACTCCCAGGCTCTACCTACTAAACATAATATACTGCTTCTCCTGATTGCCAAGGTCGAATAATTTTTCCTCAAGCCTGAATTTCAGAAAGGCAGAAACCTTTCACCTCCCCCTCCACATTGTTTCTTCCTCATTATGCTTCAACTCCCATCATACACATCCTGTGTCCAATAACAAAGGCTCTCTTGCCCAGGTGACTTTACAGACATTCAGTGGAAGACCCCCTCCCCCCAAGCCAAACCATTCCCAGGAGACCACAGCCATGTAAATAGGGGTTCAAGCCACAGCTATTTCTTTTCCAGGAAAGGATCCACAGGCATATATCTGGGTATGGAGGTGGAAAACAGGGATGCACAGCCCAGCCTTGGGAAAACGTCAACAATATCCTGATTCCCTGAGCAGCTAAGGTCTGAAGCAGACCAAACAAGGCAGCAAATGAGAGTGTTGAAGGAAAGTTACTTATAGCAGCCTGTCATTAACCTGCCACCCAGCCCAGCCCTGCACTGAAGGTAAATTTAGCTGACTGCCAACCAAGAATAGCCCATGGAGAAACAAGGTCCAGCAGGTCCTATTGCCTACTGCCTTCATAACTCTGCTGAGCAGGCTATTGACACCACTACTTCAATAGAACTAATGATTTTTTGGACCATAAAGGCTTTTCCAACTATTTCAAAGATTTGGGGGGAAAATAGGTTTGGGGGCAGGACAGAACCAGGCCTAGATATTCTCCAGTTTGGAATAGGGTTCAAATCATGTCACCTTCCTATTCTTGGCGCCTTAGATCTCCATTCCTGACCCATACATACCCATACATACACTGCCTCTCACAGTGCCCTGCGGAGTGGAAAAAGACTTAAACTCCCCTCTCTACAATGTATTTAAATGTATTAAAGACCCCAAGTCATAGGGTCAGTATCATATCCACACTCTATCCCTTTAGGGATGAAGACTCTTCTCCTGCCCTTACCTCATGTATGATCCATCTTACAGGAAACTCAGCCATCAGACCTCCCTACCCAGTTTCAACAATTTCTCATTCATAGAATCATCTCTATACCTCTGACAGGTGGTCATCCAGCTTTGATTTGAAGACCTACAGTAGTAAATTCAGTACCTTCTAAAGCAGTCCATTTTATTTTTGAACACTCTGTTAGAAAGTTTTCTTTAAATCAGGCTGAAATCTGCCTTCCTGCAACCTGCATCTATAACTTCTATTTCTGCTCTCTGGGGCCAAGTAGCCAAGTCCAAGTCCCTATTTCCCATTACAACTCTTCAAATTCTCAAAAGCGGTTTATCCTATTTCCCTTAAGCCTTCTCTTCCCCAGGCTACACAGCTCTGCTTCCTTCAACTGACCCTTGAGGGGTCTGGTCTTCAGTTCCTTCACCACTCTGGCTGCCCTGCCCTGGACGTAATCCCACATATTTCCTAAAATAAGAATTAACTACTTTTATTCCCTATATCAGGGAGCTGTAATGAAAGCCCTTTGCAATTCCTTGGAGGTATCAAATACCTAACAAGGCCAGAGACACTCCTGAGGAGCACATGAATCAGACAAAAAACGTAATTGGGTAATATTTAACAAAGTAAAAATATAATAAAACACAAATGTCAGTATGCGGTTTTCTAAGTCAGTAAGCACCTGCAGGTCTCCGTTTCTGAGTTTGACATCACTGCCCTATCAACTACAGAAATGAGCTATTACACTTTTATAACCATAACAAGGCCTTCCCAGTTTTATTTTTTTATCATAGTCCTATGAGGAAGACAGGGTGAGATAATTCTCATTTTACACAATGGGAAACTGAGGCTCAGAGATGAGAAGTAACTTGTCCAGGGTCACATGACCAGAAGAAAGTGGTTGTAAGTTCTGGCTAGTTTCAACATTTATGTTTTTTCCCTTAGGACCCATACCATGACACGTGATGTCATTGTAATCCGAGATTCTCCGATCACTATCACCCTTCCTAGAAGTGAGATTACTGCAGTCCTTGCATCACTACAGTATTGCACCCTTAGGACGCTCTCTCACCCTCAATACCATACTTTCTTTCCACAGTACCTGGCACAAAGGGGCATTAACCCACGGCACATTTGCACTTTAACATTCTTAAGTCTCTCCCTACTCTAGTCCATCCTCCACTCTGTCAATTTGATCTTCCTAAATACCATCTGACCACCCTACTCAATGAACTCCAGCAGTATCCTATCAACTCTAGGATTTAAAAAAAAAATCCTGTTTGGCTTTTAAAGCCCTTTATAACCTGGCTTCTCCTTACAGCTATCTCACATCTCCATGCAATCCAGTGACTGGCTTCCTTGCTCTTTCTTCTCAATACTTTTCCTCCTCATCTACTTCAAATCTCAGCTCAAGTCCCACCTTCTGAAAGCCTTTCCTAGTCTTCCTTAATCTTAGTCTCTTTCCTCTGAAACTATCCCTAATTTATGCCGTATTTTGTGTGCACATGGTTTATTTGCATGTTGTCTTTCCCCTTAGTTTGATGGCTGGGACTTTTTTCTTTGTACACCCCCCCCCCAGCACTTAGCAGTGTGTGGCATATAGTAGACACTTAATGTTTATTGTTGGTGACTGTCACTTTTCATTCTCATTTCTTCATGTGTCCATATGTTATCCTCCCTAAAGGGCTGGATTCCTTAAAGGCAGGGATCATTCACTCACCAAACCTAGCAGAGTACTGTGTAGAACACATTTTAACTCGTTGAATGAACGCAAATTGAGGGCACCTGGCAGTCTTGACACTTCCAAAGCTTCTGTTGAGCTGACTGTAGGAACTCTTACAATTACAAGTGAACATCTCCAACCCTCAGATCAATTTTTAACTGAGGCAGAAACCAATCTAAATGCAGACACCCAGCAGCTTCCCTGATAGAGTAACTTGTTACAGAATCCCAACTCTACTTAATTTCTCTGCCTGGATAACCACGGACAAGTCATTTTTCCCCTCTCCCAGAAAGAAGTATCCTCATTTGTAAAAGAAGGGGTCTGGACTCACTTTCAACTTTCAATCCTATAAACTGACTGGTCATTTATTCAAACTGGCCCTTCAGGAAGTTCTTTATGTTTCATCTGCCTCCCCTGAGAAGTTGTCCACTTTAGGCTAAAAAATCCATAAAACATCATGCTACAAGTGTTACCAATACTTATTTGGCCTCTAGAATGCACAGAACACTTCAATCCCTCATTAAAACAATAATGAAATTTCACAATTGTGATTAAGCCTTCACCTTTGCTTCTCCTATATTTTCTTTACAGATAACCAGGAGAGAAACCTCCCTAAGACTCCAGAGAAAGAGGGATCTTTGCCTAATAGCCCTTTCCTCAAGGTTGAGAACTTGGGCTGCACAGAGAGCTTGAGCCTACAACTTGACCACAATCAGATCTTTCCATACCCAAATTAAGTACAAGCTACTCACTTCCACTTCCATGCCTGCCACAGGATGAATTCTAGAAGAGAGCAGCAACACAGCCAGATTAACACCTCTCTTTCCCTAGCTCAAGATGCTATAAAATTGTATGGGTGCTGGCCCACCCCATCCTACTGATGTGACTGATTGGTCTTGGCATTGGCTGCTTCTATTGTTGAATGGAGAAAAAAAGATCTGACAAGGCGAGGTGCCCAGATGGAACAGCTCAGGCCAGCAGGATTATAGTAAAGTACACTGTTTTTATTTAGTCTGATATGTTTCTATACAGAATGCAGAAAACACATCTTCTTAAAATCATATGTAAGGAAATAAACACACATCAGTTGTTGGTGAACACTTTTTAATAAGATCTGCTCTCCACGTTACAGTGCCTGATGGCTGACAAGAGGCAGCCCTGGTGCAAACGGGAAGGAGGTTGGCTGAAACAGCATTATTATTATTATTCTGTTCACTGCCCCTTCGCCTCCAGTTTCTATGGTGACAGGTAGAGCCAGGCCTGCCCCATCTGCGCATGGCTGGGATGGAATGGTGGGGTTGCTGGGGCAACGGGGCTACTTGGAAGGCCTTTCACTCAAACAACTTGCTCTGGGGCTTTTGAAATGTTATTTATTTTTGCAAGGGGCCACATAATGTCTGCTGGAGTCTACAATGGGTAACTGGACCAAATCTGGCCCCTACATGTGTGCTACCTAACTCTTGTGCTGGGAACATCCCCAGCCCATAGGGCTCACTCAAGATATGACCCAACACTGCACAAAATGTGCCTTGATCTACTGGGCTCCCTTCATGAGATCCTTTGCCTCCAAAATGCTTCTGGAAGAAGGGCCAGGTCCCTAGAGTCCCTTTTTCCTGTGAGGGGATCAAGGAATCAACCTCACAGCTCCCACTGGGTTAAGTTGGTGAGCGACATAATAAACACAGATTTAGGAACTGCCCAGCTCAAACACAGGTGTAACATCACTAGCTTCCAGTCAGAAAAATCTCTTTAAGAAAAACACAGTAGAAAATGTCCCCATGGCAAACGAAGAGGTGAAGGCCAATGACCCACCCAGCCATCCTTCAGGGGCAGCCCACAAACATACTTTGCAAAACAGTCAATATGGCTTAAAAGTGTCTGTTGGGTGTGCAAAGTGAGCTGGAGTCTGCGCACCCCCCCATCAAGGAAGGGAAACATTATTGCAAAGGATTTTCCTCCCTAAAATGTACCAAAAATAGCTTTCAAATGGCCAAGAAGGTCATGCTTAAACAATTTAGTCTAAAAGGAGAGAGAGAGAGAGAGAGAGAGAGAGAGAGAGAGAGAGAGAGAGAGAGAGAGAGAAAGTGAGCAGGCACCTCCAGAGTGCCTCAAGTCACAGGACAAAGACAAGTTAAGTTCATCCTAAAAAGGCAAGAAACCCAGACATGGTTCTAGAATCAAAACAACAACAGAAAAAAGTCAGAATGTGAAAAGCAATCAGTCCCATGGAATCAACCCTAAGAAGCTAAGCTCATACAAACTGCTGTAAGCATTACCATTTTTAATCTTTTTTTATAATAAAACAATTTGAGACTGTATCAAAAATTTAGTAAAAAAATTAGATTTTGAGAGTCCACCGATTTTTACTATGAACTATATTGCTGGCACTTTTCTTCCCAATCACCAGACAGCTTTCAGCATGTTGGAGTCCAGAAACCTGGGGATGGGAGGGCCAGAACAAAGGAATGAGATGCTGTCAGAACACAACTGCCAAGAATTTGAGAGTAAGGAAATAGCATCACACTACATAAAAATATTGCATCTTCACCAAAACATCCCCCACTGAGTGTTTCAAAAACCACATTTTTCTTTAAGATAAAAAAAAAAAGGAAAAAAAAGAAAAGAAAGAAAAAAAGAAGTCAATGCGGTCTAAAACTACCTCATCATTTCCAGGAGTTGCCTTACTTCCTGGTGGCCTATTTTCACCACCAGAAGCGCCAGGGTCACCAGGAGCAGGTCACCAGCACCTCTGCTGCCTCTCATAGTTATATTTCCATCCAACAACTAATGCCCCTTAAAGCTTGCCTAGAGCACACAGGGAGGATTGTCTGGCCCCGTAAAGTAACTTCTGACTATCCAGCACCAGTACCAGGGGAGAGTCAGGGAAGGGCTAGGTCAGCAGGTCTGCGAGCTCACTCACATGAAGTGCCCAGAGTTCTTCCTACAATCCACAAAGATGCCCCAAATCAGTCTCTGGCTTAACCGAGGAACAAAGTTTACATTGTGTGAAAAAATAGGATTCCTTTGATAAAAAATACTGTCCCTTGGTCTTCTCTAACTAGTTTTGAAACACCCTGGGAGCTTATTTTTAGCAAAGCAGGGCCCCCTCCCCCACCCCACAGCCCCACCCAAAAACTATACATACAAGTTTAGGTAAACAGCAGATTAAATGTAAAAATGTAACATTAACTTCTGAAAGTCCTTTGATTTTAATCTTTAGGCTACTTTTTCCATGTTACATCCTGCAGCTAGACACACGTGAATAGAAGGAAAAAAACCAAAACAACAGTACAGTTAGTGTTAAAGGCAAACAGAGTACACCAGGGATGGAATGCCCAGCCCAGTGTCATCTGTGAGTCCATCCATCCATTCATTCCATGTTCTGTGCCCATTGGTGCTTTCAGAAGCTGGCCATCAGAAATACTCATTGGAGAATTCTCTATAAACAAACAAAAGCTGTTAGGCAAAAAGAAAAGAAAAGAAAAGAAAGAAAAAAAAAAAGAAAAAAGAAAAAAAAAATTTTTTTAAGTTCCCCAAAGTTCACCAGGCCACTTTGGAGTAGTGTAAAAGAACCAGAGAGGGAGGGTTTTTTCAGGCCCTGTATGTGGGTGTGTGTTTGGGGTCAAGTGTTGATTTCTGGTTGGCAATGAACTGTGTGGGCCATCAATCCCTATCAACAACACTGGTATGGATCTCCAGGCCCCTTCCCTCAAAGCCCAAGACTTGCTGTTAAGGAGGAACATATGGAGGTGGTGACCTGTAAGGGGTCATGTTCTTCGGGCGTGAGCCTTTTCCCTCCATAGGGGCTGTGAAGGGTGGGGGGGGCTGATAGGGAGGTGCATTAGGGTCTTCATCCCTCAAGGGGGTATACTCTCCAATAGTATCCTGGTTCAATGGGGTGGTCTCTGGCATGTTCTGGTTTGGATATTCTGGAGGGGGGAGAGGAGCCTTTTCCTCTTGTAGGATCAGAGGCATGCTAGAGGAAGGGGGTGGCTTAGAGTCATCCAGTTCATCAGCAAAGATGATTGGCACACCTTTTTTGATGAAAGTTGCTTGGTCTTCAATTGTGAGCTTTCCTTTCCTTTTCTTTCGGTAACAGATCATAGCAATGATACCAGCAATGAGCAGGATAGCAGCCACCACCACAGCAGGAATGACTGTATGGAGATAGACATCATCCTCACTGCTCTTCTCAGGGTCTTTCTCAGTCACAACTGTAGGGGGAGCTTCTGAAGGGATTCTTCTGTCTGCTGTTACAGGAATAAACTGGATGTGTCTACAGCTGCCTGATCCTGTCACAGAAATGCTCACAGCCTTGAACTCGGGCTCCAAAGTATTAGAGAAAACATGACGAGGTTTTCCATCATCCTCTGAGATTCTCCTGCTCAACCCTCGGATCTGTTCCTTGGGGCAGGGATCCAGAGGCAGGGTATTATTTGTCCACTCGACCACAATGGAGCCCTTTGTGATATTCTGCAAGGTGATGGTACTGCTGTTGCGGTCCCCAAAGGCAAGAGCCAGTTTCTTAACCAACATGATTTTTTTATGAATGTCATTGACCACTGAAGCAGGGTCACCAGTGAATTTTGCCTTAAATTTGGCTGGAGACTTATCTCCCTGTGGACGCTTGTGTACGTGGATTTCAAAGGCATCCACAGCTGAGAGGCCCCCCTTATCTGTAGCATGCATGAAGTACTCATGCTTGCCCAGGTGACTGCTGTCAGGCAGCCCATACATCAGCTGACTGTTGCTATTAAATTGGACCCAGGACTTCTCCCCTACCATCTGCTGCTCCCTGAGCTTCAGAGTCAGCTTCAGCTTATCTGTAGTCGTGTCCTCCTCATCATAGAACGTATCCAAGGGGATTTTCACCTCAAAGTAAGTGCCCACCCATGCATCCACCCTATCAATGTGGTTTTTCAGTGAGGGGGGCTTGTTGGGTTCACCCCCCCGAGTGGTGCCACTTGTTGTGGTCCGGGTTCGAGTTGGTGGGGAAGCCGTTTCCAATCTGGTGAGAGGTGCTTTGGTTGTGACCCTGGGCACTGGCCTGGAAGTTCGTGGTTTTTTGGTAGGCCTTCGGGTTGTAGCTGTTGAGGAGTCTGTGGTTGAAGGCGTGGCTGGTTTCAAAGTAGTTATTCTTGGTTTCTTAGTAGTAGTGGTAGGAGGTGTAACAACAGCAGTGGGTTCTATGTACCCTGGAATTGTTGTTGGCCTAATCTGGCCAGGGACTGTAGTACCTGTATCTGATACTCTGGTAGGCTGAATTGGTCCTAGGGTTGGGGTCTGGACAATGGCACCTCGTGTTCGAATAGTAACTGCTGGTTTTCCAGGGACAGGATCTCGTACTGGAGGAGCTACAGTTTCTGTAGGAGGTGCAATGGCTGGAGAGGTGGGTGTAGGAACAATCCTAGATGGTGGTTCTTGGAGAGCAGTTGTAGGGGGTCCAATGGCAGTGACTGGTGTGGGTGTTGCATTAATCTGTCTCCTTATCCGTTTTGGAAAATGAGGTTTCTTATTAGCAATGTGCCAGCCTACAACAGGATAGCCAAGCTGAGCAGACATTGTGCCTTCTTTAGCTGGAGTTTCCACACTGCTAATATTAGGGACACTGTTTTGGTTTAAAGAACAACCTAGCTTCCACGACAGTAAGGCTCCATTTTCTACTACTTTTTTTGCATTTCCTGGGCCAGCCATGAAGGCTGACATGTCAAAGAGTCTGTTATTTACAACTGGAACCAGTTTCATATTATGTAGTTCTACTTCCGAAAAACTTTTCATCCTGTTTAAGAGCTCGACCCTCTGCTTTGGTGTCATTTTTGTGAGATCAGCATCCAAAATTACAGTCAGGATAGTCACTGGCTCATCCGCACCACACACAAATGGAGCAGCTTCATTAACATCTTGGGATGCCACTCTTACTGACTGTGGCTCACTGTGATCTTCAGGATATACTTCAATGGAGAAAACATTCATAGCTTGGGGCACGTAACTTCCATTAGGTGCCAGGTGCATGGCATTGACAGAAATGTAATGTACACCTTTGTCTGTATCAAGGGGAAGACCTTCTAGCATACGGCTCTCTGGGTCCCAGTGCAGCCATGAGGGCAAAACTTCTTTCCCAGCTTCTGACATCTAGGAAAAAGACAAGTAAACAGCAAGTTAATTTTGCCATTCAACTGCATTAGGAAAGATTAAAAACAATTAATAAAATTTAAATCTAGGTTTAAATTCAAATATAACAGGCCTTTTACTGGAGATGCAAACTCCCATGTAATTAAGGGTTTACCAAGCTTTACTGTGGCTCAATCATGAGGCAGAGGGGCTTCCTGAATGGGTTTTCACTTTAAAATGTTCCATTCTAAGTTAATAATGGATGCCTCCATCTGGGGTATCTCAGGAGCTAGAAAGGCAGAGCATTGGCAATCTGTCCTGTTTAAGTCACAAGAGGATGAGTAAAAGGTGAGTACTGTCATTTGCTTGCTTATTTCCTAAACACGAGAACATGAATAGGTATCTATAGAGGCAGTGGAGAAAAGCAATAAGCATGGGCCTTGGGACTTCTTTTCATAGGGCACTTGAAAAGATAACCAAAAAAGCAACTGTATGTTTCTGTCAAGCTACTTCTGTTCCTACTGGTGTATAAATTTACAAACTCTGAAAGTCTTTGTTTTTTCAGGCATACACAATGTCTTGGCATACATACATTTAATAATTCAAGGATCTGAGGGTTTTGTCAGCATAGGCACTCCATCTACGCTGATCATCACCTCTCTGAGACCTAGTAAACTGTCTTTGAGAGTTGCTACAGCTGAAAAATTCATCACTCTGGGGGTGACCTCTCTGAAGATAGTGAAGCTGGTCTTTGGACAACAGCAAGTCTAGGCCCAGATGGCTTAAACACATGGATATTTAAATGGAACTAACTGGTAGGCCAGCTGCTAAGACTCCAGGTCATTTTTCTCATCTGTACATACTTGGGAACATTCCTGCAGGTTACCCGATAGAGAACACAAAGCAAAAGTTCAGGTTTGTTCTGAATCTTAATCAAGCAAAAGACTGTCTCCTACCAACAGTCTGAAACATGGGAGTCTCTAAAGTTTTCTGTTTCTTCAAAGCCCCAGAACTGAAAGGGGCCTTAGAGGCCAACAAGTTCATCCTGTACCTGAACCAGAATCTCCTCTACAACATCCCTAACAAGTAGACACCAAGTTCATGTTGGAAGACTTTTGGTTAAGGTCACTTATATCGAATATTCACACACACTAATATTAACAATGCCATCTGGGGGCACCTAGATGGCACAGTGGATACAGCACCGGACCTGGAGTCAGGAGGACCTCAGTTCAAATCCAGCCTCAGACGCATAATACTTCCTAGCTGGGTGACTCTGGGCAAGTCACTTAACTCCAACTGCCTCACTAAAAATAAACAATGCCATTCAAAGGCTGTTCACTCTGTTTTTTGACAACTCTACCATCTGCCATTCTCCCCTATCAACCCACTGCTCCTGGGTCTACCCTTTGACTCACAAAAGCACAACTCTGATCTCATATGGCAGCCATTTAAATACCTAAAGACCAACTGTTCTCTTCACCAAGTTACACTGCATCAGGGCCTTCAACAGATCATTGCAAAGTTTAATCTGGAGTCTCTATCTTACCAATGTTCTTCCTAAAATCTGGCTAGCATACCTGATACTAAGATATGGTATAAAGGGGGCAGAGTACAGCAAGACACCAATCTCCTCTCGTTCTAAAGACTATGTTTTTCAGTGCAACTTCAGACTGCCCTAATTTTTTTGCTTACCATATCATGCTGTTGATCCTCTTGAACCTGCACTAAATCAATCAACTAGCAATTTTAAAACTCTATACCAGGCATCATGCTAGGAGCTAGGGATAAAAAGACAATTAAACAATCTCTTGTTGTCAAGGGGCTGACATTCTATCAGGATAGAAACAAGTACACATATGTTGTTGCTGTTCGGTTGTTTCTGTCATGTCCAACTCTTCGTGACCCTATTTGGGATATTCTCAGTAAAGATACTGGCATGATTTGCCATTTTCTTCTCCAGCTCATTTAATAGATGAGGAAACTGAGGTAAACAGAGTTAAGTGACTTGCCCAGGGTCACACAGCTAGTAAATGTCTAAAGCTAGATTTGAACTCAGGAAGATGAGTCTTCCTGATTCTAGGTCTGGTACTCTATCCACTGCACCACCTTGCTGCCCATGTTTACATATAGGTATGTAAAAAAAATAGATTTTTTTAAAATACTAGGAAATTTTGAGGGATAGAGGCACTAGCAACTGGGGGAATCAGGAAATAAATGATGAAAGAGGGAGCATTTTGAGCTGAGCTTTGAAGGAAACTCCAAGCATCTGAGACTAAAATTTCCAAATCTTTTTAAGAGAACTGTTATTTAGCCATATCACATTACCCCCATTTTGCCAATATTGTATTTATGAAGTTGATTTTTAAGCCTATTTTAAGTATATTTATTCCTATTAAATTTTATTTTATATTTAGCCCTAGTTATAGCCTGTTAAGGCATTTTTGGCACATATTGTCATCTAACACATCACCTATCTCCCTTCTAGTTTTGCATCATTTTGCACATTTTATAAGCATTTTATTTAAGCCTTCATCAAAATAACTGAAAACAGACCAGGGCTAAATAAATACTCCTAGGGTACTCTACCAGAAATTTACTTTGGTGTTTATATCAACCCATCAATGGTTGCTACCTGGATCTGATCATTCAATCAATTCTGAATCCACTTAATTGTAACTCACTTCTCTCTACCTTGTCCACAAAGGACAGCATTGGAGATTTTGCCAAATGTTTTATTAGGTAAATTAGATTTTAGTCAACTTACACAGCTACCACCCTTGTTCGAAGGCCTTCATTACCTCTTGCCTGGATAACAAAAGAATTCTAAGTGATTTTCCTGATTCCAGTTTCTTCCCTACTCCAATTCCTTCTCTACTCAGCTGCCAAAACGAATTTCCTTAATGTTGAGTCAACAAGCATTTATTAAATGCCTACAATACGGCAAGTACTGTGCTTAAGTGCTAAAGTGTAGGTCATCTCCCCACTCAATCAATCCCAATGGTTTCCTTACAGTCTCTAGGATCAGAAAGAACCTGATCCTTTTCTATCTTTTCCTTCTTTTAACATTATTCTCCTCTATCCATTCCTGCAGTCTAGTAATACTTAACAACTTCTTGTTTCTCATACATCCTCATCTCCCAAGTGTATGTCTAGAATACTAATGTTCTCTTTTTTCACCTCTTCGAATGCCTGTTTTCCTTCAAGACTCAGCCCATCTTTCAAGAAGTCTTTCCCAGTACCCTCGGATGTTAGTGTCTTATCCACCAAAGCTACCTTGTAGCTATTCAATTTTCTCCCCATCAGAATATAATAATGGCAGAGATGGCTTCTTTTTTTTCCCATGTTATCTCCAGTGTTTGGCCCGGTGCCTGACAGTAGATGCTTAATAAAATGATGGTTACATTTAAACCAATTCCCCAGATCTTCCAGTCAAGTTGTTTGTTTTGTTTGTCCAGATATTCCTCATCAGTGTGGGGGAATTCACAATGCAAAAATGCCTTCCCCTCTGTCAAGGATGGTGGACAATTCTTCTGTACCTCAGAGCTGTCTGAGATTCTGAGAGACCCCAAGTGCCTTGCCCTTGAGCACATAACCAGTATCAGAAGCTGAATCTGAACCCAAGTTCTCCTGATTCTAAGATCAGCTGTCTACATCTATTATAACACACTGCCACCTTAGCCTAGTTTTTTTTTTTAAATCAGTCTGGTAATCCTGTCAAAAAAAAGAAAATGAGGTTAGTCTGTCATAACTTGCTATCTACAGACGAAGCACATTGACTTTGACATCAGTGCCTCCCTTTTTCAGATGTTCACAAATATGTTTAATAATATATCATAGAATGTTGCTGGCAATCAAAGTCAAGCTCACTATCCTAACAACCTGCAGATTCCATATTCTTCTGTTTTTTTGAAAATTGAAACATTTGTGCTACAAATGTCTAGCGTCAGACATCCCTCAAACCCACATACACTCTATATCTAATGACAGATACCAGCCTGAAGTATACATAGTTTTATTCATCATAAATATAGGTGGAACATGCAACTTCAGTCCTAGAAATTGTAATGAGAAAAATGATTTGCAAATCATAAAGGGCTATATAAATGTGAGCTATTATTTGGATCATTTTCTAGGAAAAATAACTTTAGAAAGCCTCTAATTTAACAAGAACCACCACAACCACCTCTATTTATATAGTGCCTTAGGTTAACAAGACATTTCTTAAGAGGTAAGTAATGCTATTATTTTCCCTACTTTATAAATATGGAAATGAAGGGTCAAAGGAGTGAAATCACTTGTTTATGGTCACACAGCTACCTCGTAAGTGGCTGAGCTGGGATTCAAACCCAGGTTTTCTGACTCTGAATCCTGTGTTTTGTTTTGTTTTGTTTTATTCTACCAGACTGCCTTTTAGAATGACTAGTTAAGTCTCAAGATTAATACTCTTTCCAGCCTATACCTGATCCTCCAGTTATTAATGCTCTCCTCCCAAAATCATTTTGTATTTATATGTGTACATGTTTTATCTTCCAGTAGAATTGCAAGGTCCTTGAAGGCAAATGCTATTTAATTTTTATCTTTGTGTCTCCAGTATCTATCATATAATGTGCACCTAATAAATGTTTGTTGAATTGTCTTGCCACTCTTCCATCCTAAGTTGGTTCAAGCATACCACTTCAATTTTTAAGTTTCAAATTAATAACTCAAAACAATATAGGGCCAGGACAGACCCTTGAGATACTCCACTAGAAACCAAGTAAGGGAACATAATAAAAAAATACCACCTGGAAGAAGCAGTGTGGTATAGTAGATGGAGAGGTGACCTTGGAGTCAGGACAACCTGGTTTCAAGTCACTAGCTTGAGATATACTAGCCATAAGCATGGCTCAGCCTCTCATTTAACCTTGCTCTTTAAGACCATAGGCTGCAGAACATCATCTACAATGGTAGAGTTCCATTGCTCTGGAGATCCTTACACCGAGGAACTCCAAGATCCATTTCTTCTCTATACACACTCA